CTTCACCACCTTTGGTAGTAGTAGTAGTGGTTGTAGTTTTGGAGTAAGCGCCACCAGATGCTTTTCCTGGTGCACTGCCAACAATGTATACATTTCCAGCACCAGCTTCTCCTTTTTTAGTAGTAGTAGTTGTGGTGGTAGTAGTAGTTTTAGTATATGTTGCACCAGTAGCACCCCCTTGAGCTGTGAAGTCCTGTAAAACAGAAGCCATCAAGAAAATGGCAGTTACTTTGCAAATAAATAGTCAAGAAATCTGCTTTAAATGCAATATAGTCTCAATGTATTTACCTGTGCAAATTCGCTGCGCGTACCGGCACCTCCCATGCCTCCCTGTGCGAGCGATGTTGACCACACCTCTTTGATAGGCTTAGCAGCTTTAACTTGTGCTTTTTCCTAAAGTGATTGCAGATTAATCGTTACGATAATAGCACTATCGTAGAATGCGGCAAAGCCTTATTATTATTCAATTGCTAATGATTTGTAAAGATTTCGATTTTTGAGAGAACAAGATTCCTTGTTACTGCTTATATCTTACAGAGCATTGCAACTGCATATATGCGCTTACAAGTGCTTCTTTGTTTAGGAAATTATGCAGAGAATCTGAGTATTCGCTACTGAATTAATCTTATGCTGAAACTGATTGTGATTCATTGTAATCTCAAAATTTATACAGTAATCAATCAACATCAGTCAATCGTCTGTGTGCTTGCGGTAAGATGTCCCCCGTTGAGAGGACGTCAAATCATGCAGTTCTGTTAGATCAGAACAATTTCTTTTAAGGAGCTGTTTACGCTGATCAGGTAGTGTAGTGTAATGTGTTATTTCGAACGCCCACCCACAGTGGCGAGATGTTATATAACATTTTCTATACCCCCTTATCTTCACCGTTTTGATTGTGAACTTACAGTAATAAGTTCTTGTTGGGTTTTATTCCGCACTTTCGACTGAACGATCAGATCTGCTTTCTCTATAACTTCTTCGTTTTCCTTTATGTCTCTTTCCATGCTATAATGTTTTGCTTTAAAGAACTCTTACAGCACAACATATGTAATTGCATAATAATTCAATATTATTATTTTTTGATTAGGTCCTTTTGAGTCAAAAAAAGTCGCCGTAGTCATGTCAGTGTCCAGTAATCTATCTACATACCTTTCAAAAAATACCAGGCTATTACCATTTTTTTTTGAATTTAGATAGCTAGTGCTATAGTGGGACTTACAT